AATAACCGCTCACTTCCATACTTAATCACAGTCCCTCCTGCATGTGGGGGGGGGGTACTGTGACTTAATATATTCATGTCAAAAAGTAATAAATGAAAATGGACCACTAGCGGCCAGTAGTGTTTTGCGGTTAACATTCGGCTTAAAAACGTCTTGTGATTTAGTTTTACAAAAGCAAACGGAAAAAATCAAAATAATCTAAGGGACCCTTTTTTATGGTTGAGTTGGCTAATTAACATACGACTCCCACCCTAACTTCTTCAGTTCCTTTTGTTGTCGTTGGTGAATGTGTCCTTTGATAAGGCACTGAACCCCAGCGATAAGTGTACAAAAATGGAGCTAGGTGAAATTTAAAACCAAAAAATATAATTGTCGGTAACATGATGTCTGTAGTTATTTGGTCGTAGCTTGAAAACTAAGACAGAGAAAAGAAAAACGAGATCTGGTTTAGAACGTCATGAATGCCCCATGTACTTCATGGGTCATTCGTGTGATTAAAAAAATTTATAGGTTAAAAAAAACGATGTTCAATAGTCGGAATAATAAAGAAAGGCACTATGGCGAAATTGACCGTCTTATGCACTAGCGTATTTGTCTATAAAAGATTTAGGTTGTTATAGTAGCATTCTTAGTAACTTTTAGAGAATATCTGAATCAAAGACCATTTTTAACATGTCTTACCCCCGTTGCTAACTTAATTTGATTTATTTCTGTTTTTATTGCTCAGTTAAAAATACATAACCTATTTACAGGTTTAAAAGGTTAAAAATAAAATGGTATCGAATTAACAATAATTAATCGACTATATGCAAATATATATATAAATCATCAAAGGTAAGTGCTTTATATATTACTAATTTATTCAGTAAATGTCAACATTAACATGATACGAAAATGTTCACGTAATACCCTCAGTTAGTTGAAGATCTTCTCCATTCACTGTTACGATTGCGTCGTTGACACATAACTGCTCGGTGAATAGAGTGGTTGAGTAGGTGGTACATATCATGTATCATACACCTCGTATTGCCTGGCCTCGTAACGCTATGAGAAGTGCGCCCTCACACCAGGGCAATAATTTCCCGTATCACGCCTGGCCCTGCGTCTTTCACCAATCAAAACAAACGCGTCATTCGAATTTACGTCGTATGTTTGAGGTCACACTGTGGTAAAATTGTAATTACATCTATAAGGTTTATGATAAAACCTTTATGGACTGGATACAAGTTTTGCTGCCCTTTCATGAGCCCAAAGTGCACCAAATGTTGAATCCTTGTTTTAACTGTGGTGAATAGAGGTTTGTGGAATTGTGTTTTTCCAAGTCAATCAGATCCTGCAATAGTTTCCCCTTCATTTTTTAAATGTATTTGTTTGTGTGTATTTCTTGTTTAGTTTCTTTAGTTATGTAGGTTTCTGTCTGTTTACCAGTCGATATTTTACAGGCTATATTAAGTATAAACGTTGAAGGCAGCATAACACACATGAACTGGAAATCGGACCTGTATGCTGAAAGAAATTTGGTTTTAAGGAGGGTAGCTGAACGTGGTGACAGTAATTAATAACTTTCACCAACTCGAACGTTTCTTACACCCCAACTTCCAATGCATTCAGCGTATAGTAACTATGGATAATATAATAGAACCTTCGGAAACGTTAGTACATTTTTGAACATATTTTGTTATGTATTGGTAGAAATAATCATATCTACAAACCAAATGCTTAAAAGAACTACCGAATTTTGACAACTACTTTTGCGTTCTTCGTTTTTATACTGCACCATTTATTTAATGTTTCATATTTTTCACACGACACCAAGTTCAATGACATCAGCTTGACGCAAAAAGTTATTTCTGTTTGAGAATAGTTATAGTCCAGTTATAGTATAGTGTCCGGTCGCATACGACTTATTTACCACTTCCGTGTCACTGAGAATGTTCTAGAACCGTACTGTGTCTGGGTGGAATATTCTAGATTTTTTTTAGAAACTGGTTGAATAGGTAATAGAACACTGTAGGAGGCAATAGAAGGTAATGGAACATTCTAGAAATTTATAGTAAATTCCAGACTCATTATGTATGCTGATGTAATGGTCTATTTATTGACAGTGTGGGTATATATATAGGGGAGTTGTTCAGCACTGAGTTGAGATCGGAGATCTCGTTGAATTGTATTGGAGTTTAAGTATCTAGTTATTGGAGTAGTGGAGTTTTACCGCGTTATTGTACTTGATGTTTGCAGAGTATAATAATACCAGTACCAGTTGAAACCTCATCTGTTGGCTCCATGTTCGTATTTTATCATCGCCGCCAGGGAAGTCTTTCTGTTACTGTTGCCATTTTGGTATTTGAACCATCACACCTGTACTATACCAATTACGGTAATATTACGTTGCGTGTGACACATAGTTATGGTTCCAACGAATAATATTGAGTTTTGGTCGCAGCAGGTTTGTTATGAAAAGTTCGTCCATACCACAACTTAAGGCGCCGATAGATACAATGAACGTTATACGTTGCAAAGACGAGCACAACTGTTCCATATATTTCTTACAGTGGAGCGCCAGTCCAAGAGCCGACGGAGACAGCTAAAGTCGGGACATTGACGTAGTACGTCGGGATAACACCGAAAAACAACGAAATTTATAAATGTTGCATATGTTGGGGTAATCTTATTTTACTGTTCAGGAGAGTATAAACAACTAGCCCAAAGTAGAGTTTTGCCGGCGTGTTTGCATTTGACCAATTTGCAGTTCCTGAAATCACAATAGAATGTATCATAATTCACCGTATTGTCAGCCACTTCTTATAAGTCTATTGCTGCGATGGAAATCAAATAAACGAATGGTCACGTGATGCACCTAAGTTTCAACTTAAAGTTACAGGAAATGTTAAGGTAAACCAAAAGTGCAATACCGGTTTTTCCAGTGATGTTGAAACTACCAAAGATCAACTTGAAGAAATATCAATTCAGAATGTTCAACTTCATCTTCAAGGTCAACAGAATTACAGAAAAATACTATGTTGCTCATACCAAAGAAATAATCCCAGAAATAGCCATACTTATCATCAGCCAAGAAATGTTCAGATCTCATCTAGAATCCAAAGAAGACCAAGATGTCAAGAGATAGACGATGGACACAAGCTTAACAACAGAGAAGACGGCAGTAGCATTGATAACTGAAGTAACAGAGGACCAAATATAAGCAATATTTTGATACGTGACAACAACAGTGTTCATCAAAGTAACAGTGGAGAAAGATGAATGTTTTTTCCCACTATGATGTGGGAAATAATAAAACATAGAATAAATGAATGAGTATAAATCGGCTACACTTACCTAACTTTATGAAAAGAACTTAACGGAAATTAAGGGAAAGTTCAATAATATAACCATACAATTAAAAAAAAAAATCGTTGCTTGACAAAGGGAGTGGTTTACAGTAACGAGTTGATGTTAGCGCAGGGCTGTATTAAAAATGATTTGCACTCCAAAACGCCCTCTATGGTTCAATTTTCTATCTCACAATCCTTTGGAAAATCAAATCCCTATATTATTGTGATGGTAATCAAATATACAAACGTCTACCAGGTGCACCTCAGGGGCATTGATTTCACAAGTGTAAATGCTTGTTTTGCTGTAATACATACAACAGCAAAATATTGCTGTTTTAGAAAACCTGTGCATCGTTTTCAACATTTGGAATTTGACACTTTGCTCAAATCTCAAGTTCTTTCACGTATTATACAACTGATAAACAAATGGCCACTATACACACAGAACTACTGCGAAAAGCGACACAATCACCAAGCCCCCCCGTAAGTTTTAAATGAGCTGTTCCTATTTGGCTTGAAAAGTATTCTTCAAATAACACGGAATCACGTTATTCGTCCAGTTCTTTGAATTATTTTGGGAATTATGTCGAGAATATACATGTTTATAAATATAATATGTATTATCAAAGTTTACGTTGATCGGACACTTCACCATACAATAAAACTAAAGGATTTTCGAACATTCGGTCTGAAAATCTAGCAGTGGCAAAATGGCGCGAATGGACAAAATGGCGGACGTTCAGTTGTAATATTGCGTCGCATAAATATTTTCTCCGTTATTGATGATACAGATCTCTTTTCTTTGGAAATAGCGGACAGACGTCGAAAAATAGTGTATTCTAATTTCTATGACCTGGGAAACCTGCAACATCTCATTTTTTTAATTGTATGCGTAGCATTTTGGATGATGCGAAAGATGGCACCAAAACAACAACTTGATAAAGCGGCTTGGAAATGGGCAGAAACAACTGATCCAACTAAAGTCACTCAAGATCACATCGAAACAGCGTATAGAGTGAAACTGAAGCCCTGTAAACTCGGAACATGTCGGTGAGTAGGCTGATTGCAAACATTACCGACAATCGTGTCGTAGTATAAACAATGACAGTCCCTCAATTCATTTACTTGAGTCACAGTCCCTCTATTCTTAGTACATCCATGCTCTATCCATGGAGCATTTAGCTCCATGCTCTATCATAGAGGGACTGTGCTTGAGTCAAGTGTGTAAATACTAGTATACTTGTACACGGACACCTTAGAATCATGGCATATGTTTCTGCATAGTGAACAGTTTATTGTATAACATCATTTCCAAAAACTAAATATTGCTAAAAACACTTAAAAGGGAACCACTCAATCCCAGGTATTGCACCGAGTGCTCATGGGTAATTTTAATTTCACTATGCAAATTCGTGAGTATCTTCCCTTGTCTCATTAATTCTCTAAAACAACAACTTTTACTTGACT